ACACACACACACCCGCGCGCGCGCTGACACGTTTTCATTCAGACTAAGAGGTAAGGCATCCCAACTTCGTTAATGGCTGCTTTTGTGCCTGGTCCTTGCTGCACCGTTTCTTGCATGATTGCCGGGTCTGTCTCAGACAATGGTTGATTGCCACTGAGTGAAAGAGTCCTGGGGTTGCATGATTCAGGTTTAGTGTGTATGGTTTCCAGGAACATGCAACCGAATAACAAATCATGCTGTTATTGGCCAGTTCCCACAAGTGGCATGCCCGAAAAGGCACCAGCACCGGCTTCTGCAGCACCAACTGCGACAAAGACCACTGTTGCTCCGGCTGCAACGGCGCCCGCGCCTGCGCAGACGCGCCGGTCACCCAGACATGAGGCTGAGATCCTGGACCCTCCGTGCTGATCTGGAGTTTGGCGTCCCTCCCATGCCTGTAGACTATGCAGTCAAGCCCTAGACCGCAAAAGAACCCGAAGTGGATCCTGAGGCCCACGCCCTGCACCGGCATCAGCACCTGTGCCCGTTCGGCCGCCGCCAAAGCTGCGCGACCTGCTGCAGGCTCAGGGCTGATCTGTCCCTGTCTTATATGAGGTTAAAGGATGAGGTTTAGCGGTTAAACGACATTACTTGAAGGCCTCTGTGTTACACTGTAGTGTACTCTGGCTATGGTTGTAAAGGAGGCAATGCTCACTTGGCATCAGTTAGACATTGGGAGGCGGGAGGGGGCGGATTGCGGCAGCCCAGCGCGGAGAAGAAACGCTGCATGCGTGCTGGGGGACCGGCGGCGGTTGATTGCTCATTGGAGCACCCGCAGTGTGAACCCTCACACATGCGCGGCTCACGGTCAGAATTCAGCGGGGGCACCATACCTGCCTTTGCGCGTTGCCTACATGCACTCAGCCTTTGTAGATCATGAGCCAGGCAGGCAATGTTTCAGGCGAGCATAGGCGAGCCCATTGATGTTGTCACAGGCCTTTACATGTCGTATTGTGAGAGTGTCGTTCTGTGCGGGCTGTGTTGTCGTCTATCCACCCTCACCCTTCCCAAAGACCAACATCTACCACATTCTGAGGCCCAAAACCCGACTCTTCTCGGCTTCGGGGCCCTGAGAAGCAGGCAGCCAAGCCGAACTGGACGGAGAAGGACTTGAACAACGTGGTTGAGAAGCTCTCCAAAGCTCAGGCGACTGGAGAGTTTAAAGACAGGTCGAGGAGGCTTGTTATCGTTCGCTTGTTGATAGAGAACCAACCTTCATAGGATTCATAGCTCAGTGGCAAGAACTCACGGATTCGAAGCATCATTGCTCGGATGGAGAGTTGGTGTTAACTGTTACTACTTCTACTAATACCAATGCGATCTTTGCCGCTCGCGATTAGGGAAACTGTTGCGGATGTTTAGGGCTTGGGGTGCTGTTGTGGGCGTAGCTTCGGGAATTTGAGATTGAAAGGCCATAGGGGCCTTCGGGAACCAGTCTTTTTGAATCCCAGTTGTATTTCGGCCCTATGAACATCATAGCAAAGATGTTAATCTTTGCATAATCCAGGAGACAACCAACAAGAGAGAACTACTACTCCATTCTTTGCTGAGTGCCGTGCCAGGGCAATTTAGTCCTTGAGGTGCTCATGCTATGCACCAACCGAGAAGTGTGTGCCACCGCGAGATGCCATGAGGTTTCCAACTTCGAGCAATTGCGAGACGCTCTGCGAAGTACTGCCCTAGGCTGAGTCGTGCTTGGGGGCTTGTACTGTACTGCCTTAAAGCTGCGTCACACTTCGACTTAAGCTGTCGAAGAGAGGATGTCGAGATGCGAGAAGACACTTGAGGGTGCCAATCTTCCTCTCAAGTTCAGAGTCGTTGGGACTGAAGCTTAGCCAGGACCGCTGACTGCAGAAATCGGACTCGCAAGACTTGGGTCGCTTGGGAAAGGAAAATACTCCGCTGCTGGAGGTGTGTGGTTAGGGTTGTTTGACTTCTTCTGCATCACTGCACCAGTGCAGCTGAGGGCGCCGCCTCCTTGAACGAAAGGCAATGGGAACTGCGACATGCCACCTTCTTGGGTTTCGAAGTCGGTAGCTCGGGTTTCGAAGGCATCCATCCCCCTACAGGTATAAGGTGGGAAGTTGCCCGTCGTTGTCTTTTCAATGATTCAACATGGGACGGCATGTGTGACCACTGAGAGCATAGCGAGGATTTGGGGCTTTCTTTCGGAGTTTAGGATTCAGGGCTCTCCGGCCTCAGGGAGACTGTTTGGATGGGGCTAGCCGTGGCCTGCTCTCTTCGCCGCATGCGGGTCAGACGGGAAACTGCATGAAGTCTGTTGCCGAGGCAAAAAACCTCTTTTGTCAACATGGGCTTTGCTGCCACGTGCCTTGAGCTCGCTCGGCCACGCAATGGGGGAGAAGCGAGCCCTCGTATTGCCCGCACTCCATTGCTCCTTTCGGACTCTGGAGAAGGCGACACAGCCGTGGGAACCGCAGACCTCGAGGCACCTGCAGAGACTTCCAATCTTTCCGAAGTTGGCACGGAAAGTTCGGACCTCGACGATCCCCTCGCACTGGCTGATCTACTCCTGGATCCCCAGGTCAACGTGCGCTTGGTCCGCGGCACTTTCCTGAGGAAGCTTCACCAGGAGCAGCGGCCCGCGGTCAGGCGGCAAGAGATCGAGCAGGAGGCGGATGCCCTGGTCACGCAAGACGAGCTGATCAGGTGCAGTGGGGACACCAAAGAAACCGGCCCACGGTTCCCCCAAGCTCCAAAGCGTGCTCCCCATCCTCTCGGTCAGGTGGAGGACGGACGCAGACTTCCGCCAAAAGGTGCGAATCATTGGTGTGTCGCACGTGTGGGAAACGATGGAGCATCCGGATCCTGCAGGGCACCAGCTGGCCATCCTCGCGGATTCTCGTCTTTGGCCTCAGGAGCGATGGTGATGCAACAGCGGGCTGTATTGGCCTTGGCACCCGTAGTGGACCACAAGACTAAGAGTCATACCCCCGGGTCATTCAAGTGCAGTCCGGGAAGTGCATGTTTGTACAGGGTGTTGCTGCTTTATCCGAAACAGAAGTAGGAGCCAAAGGGTTTACATGCGATTAAGCTCGGATCTTCTTGTCAACAGGAGTGGTCCTGGTATTTCTTCGACTACATGTCCATCTACCATTCTACCGTGGCAGCGCAGAGAGTTATCAGCAGCAATGTTTCGATCGAGCCATGGCGAGCATGCACTACTTCTATGCTCATGAGTACACTCACACCTACTTCATCACCAAGCGTTCGCCCGCGAGAGCTTTGGACACCACGCACAAGATTGAAGTGTTCTATGCCCCCGATGGAGACGGGGAAGCTGGACAAATGCAGGAGGTACCGATCAAGGATTTGAAGCGGAACGATACGCCCTACTTCGAACGTGGCTGGTGTGAGGCGGAGATGCAGTGGTCCTGCATGCGGGGCCAGGCATCGCAGACGGTCGCTCTCGATTTTTATGAGCATTCGGGGGCTTTGACTCTCTATTGCAGAGCCCCCATGCCGCCTGACGTTTTCCAAGGACAAGTTGAACGGAATGAGCTCAGGTTTACCCATGCAGACAACTCCAAAGATGTCATGAAGTTGCAAAGGCGAGTCTTTCTTCAGAAGGCCGCAAGGTTGGAGGTCCTGAGTCGAACGGACTTGTCTGCAAGCCAGATCCTCGTGCTTGGCCTCGCCCTGCCGTTCTACAGCAGGTTGCAGGCGGGAGAAGCTTAAGGCTTAGGAAGCTGGGGAGGGCATCAGAATCCTGCTAGGTTCCCTTGAGCTGGCCCCGGCACCCTAGGATGATGGGCCCAGGTGCTCACGATCGTTGGCAGCCAGATCGAAGCAGCTGGTGCTGAGGAGCTAGCCAAGGCGCTCAACATGAAGGAGCTCAAATTGTCGCACTGCTCGATCTCGTGCGCCGCGATGTCGGCGTTAGCCGGAGGCAGCCAGAAGCTCACACGCCTCGTGTGCACATCATGCGCACTTCGCAGTGAGCACATAGAGGCATTGCCCAGAGCTCTGACATCACAGAGCCAGATCCAGATCCTGGACCTTTCGGAAAACAAGATCGATTGTGACGGCGCCACCGCCTTGGCTCGAGCCTTGCTGGAAGGTTGCAAGCTGCGGCAACTCTCGCTGCGTCGCAACAAGATTGCAGATCGGGGCGCAGGGGCCTTTGCCGATGTGCTCCGGCGAGCAGCGACAGAATGGCAACCGTTGAGTGACCTGGACCTAGACGACAATGAGATCGAGGCCCCAGGATGGAAGCTGCTAGATCAGGCATTAGAGGAAGTGGAGTTTCTGGCTGAGGCTTGGTTCGGCAACTTTCGGCTCGGAAGACACAAGAAACCAGACATCTGGAAGACGTCAGTCCTGTGTCAAGGGATATTTTCCTGTGCGCATGTCACTTGCTTCTTCTTTCATTATCTTTGTGTCTTGTCGCGTTTGCTTTTTCCCATCTTGACTACGAATATCGACGCATCCGAGAAATTTAACAAGATGCTAGCTGTTGGTAACGATCTCGTGTGTGTGTTCATGTTCCTTCCGTTGGCTCTTGTAGTTTTGGGCCCTGGAGGGGTCACGAGCCGAGAAAAACTATCCGTCTGGCGCACATACAATCTTGTCATTTCCCTGTTTGGTGTGGCCTCGCGCTGCCTTAAGACAATGTCGTGGTGTGTTGGCTTGAGTTACTTGAACCAGGACATCTGGATTGGTGCCCTTTTGTTGCTAGAGATGTTACTGTTGAGACGGGGGTTCAAGAGCCCGCCGTTGGTTGCATGAGTACTTCCATGTATGACGACCTCGCGTGTTTTCCATGGGTCCTTGCCAAGAGAGCAGGATGCCTCGGCATCGGGAGCCGAAATTTCAAACTATCCGCCTAGCGCGGATACAATCTTGTCATTTCCCTGTTTGGTGTGGCCTCGCGCTGCCTTAAGACGATGTCGTGGTGTGTTGGCTTGAGTTACTTGAACCAGGATATCTGAATTGGTGCCCTGGTGTTGCTGGAGATGTTACTGTCGAAGCAGGGGTTCAAGAGCCCACCGCCCAGCCACCAAGGCTGAACTTAGAAGTGCTGCACCCGGATGTGAAACCTTGACTCGGTGCTGTCGGCATTCTTACCTTGCGAGCACGGATGTGTGCGCTTTGCAAGCTCTCCTCTCCGCTGGCATTTATTTGTGGGTTAAGTTCAAGTGCTTTGCGTGCCAAAGGTCATAAGGGAGTTTCAGGCCAAGACATCAGCACCTCCACAGGCTTTGAGGTTTGATTCGGTTTGATTCCACCAGTGTTTTTCAATTTGGCCTTGCACTCTATACAAACACCTATGATTATGAGTGGGATTGCATGCACCAACGACAGGGTCCGCGTTCAACCAAATGTTCCAACCGCATTAAACCCAAGAAGCCCACGCCCAAACTCTAAACCTTTGTGCTGGGCTGGACTCCCTGGGGCCCAGACCACCCCAACCCGTACAAAAGCTCGACCTTCTTTCGTGGCCACCGCAGGCTGCGCAGCGCAGGTCAGAAGATCTTCGCCACGGATACCGTCGCAGCGCTAAGGCAGCGGGTGGACCTGGAGGAGCGACTCCATGGCTCCGTGTCGGTGAATCTTTCCATAGGGTCCGCTCTGGTGGAGAGCCCGATGTAAGACGATGATAGACCAAGGATGCGCTGCATGTTCTGGCGATTTGTGGAGCATCCTGTGGGAAGGAGCCACCGAAGCCCCAGATCGAGAAGAACCCGCAAAACTTGCCGGTGCAGCGTTGGGAGGCAGGTTGCTTCTGAGGGAAAGCTGCTCCGGTCTTGGAGACGATATACCCAGCGCGGAAAGTGTAGAGACGCGCATAGTCCGAGACTTCAGGAACCGCTGACAATCGGAAACAATGCATGAGGATGTTAGGCCTCCGGCAGTGAACATGGCGACTTTCTTGCGATTGTGGGAAGTCATCGGTGAGTTTGTCGGAAGTACCATCTGCGAAGTCCTCAGAGTCTGTGGAGGTCGTGCACGACCTTGCGATGGTTAGAGAGAAGCCGTCGCTCGCTGCTCGTGCGCTGGCACGGAAGGCGCGCCTTGCAGCGAAAGCCTTGCTAGTGCTACTGCTTTCGGACCTTCGGCGGTTCGTAGAATCGGGATAACTTTATTGCGTCACGGGTCAGGAGGAAATCCTTTGAGCGACCAGGATCGAGGCGAGATCGTGCAGAGCGCAGAGGAGACCTTCGATGGCTTCCTCAAGCTCCACGGCGAGGCCCCTTGCTGTAGCCGTTGTGGTGCTCAGTGTAGGGCGAGGACGACGTCAATCATCATGTACCTTGCAAGCACACGCAAGGGTGCTTGCAGTGCCAAGTCCTGGTACCTCGCCGAAGCTTGTGTATCGCTCCCGTCACATGTCGCCATCTGGTGCAACCTGCACCAGCCAAGCGTGCCACAACACACACACACACACGTACGTTCGCAGGACTTGTCTGTTGCGACTGTTCATCGGCGTAGTGAAATCCGGACTTAAGCGCAACCACATGCACATTCGCCTACCACCGTTAGTAACATCATGCCGCTGGCCTGCCCTAGTGTGCTTAGTGCCATTTCCAGCCAGCCTCAGAAGCATCCTATGGCCAGGACGGCTGGTGTGCCAAGGCTGGGACCAAGAGATTGACCTTATGTTGCTGGGACTCACCTTACAGGAAAGCGTAATCAAGACACGAACTCCAGGAGGCTTGCTTTCGGGTTGCGTCCCAGACAGAGCTGGTTAACTCGCTGGAGCGCTGGGACGATCACGATCGCAGACTGCGCAAGGACTGCCAGGGCAAGCTGGGCCTTGGCACGCGGGGGCCCTGGGGGCTGCTCAAGACTTGGATCTGGTTCTCATGATACCCTGAAAGCTTCTCTTTGAGCCGTGAGTTTGCGCTGAGCCGTCGGCACCTGGAACTCCGGACCACTTCAAGATGCAAATGCGCGCCATCCAAATTTGCTTGAGGTGCACTAAACCTCAAACCCTGAGCCCAACCCTTCCCCTGCAAACCCTGTAAACCCCCCGAAGCCCAAACTGTCTCCAGGCTCCTTCGTCGCTTGCCCGGCCAGCAGGAAATGGTCTTGGCCGCCGACTTCCCGGCCCCGGGATCCGGGCCGCAGCATTTCAAGGTGAGGAGCCGAGCTTTAGGGTTTTCTAGGGTTTACGGATGTTTACAGCTCTTGGTGCAGATGGGTGTGGGATGCAATGAATGAAGGCCTTGAGGCTTTATGACATTCTTTACGTCGATCTACAGGGTAGAGGATGGGGTGGTTGTTGCAGGCAGCTCTCTTGGAGAAGCTGCGATTCTCCAGAGTTGATGATGAGTAGCACAAATGCAGAGTCCCCCTGCTTCTTTGTGCTCCAGATACTCCCCTGACTACACTCTGAATGCAAGGGCACCCAAATCCTTTAAGCCTTGCATGACCTATCCATGGAAAGACCCCAGGTGATCTTCAGTCCAAGTGTCGCTGTGCGGGCAGCGCCCTCCACCGATGCCAACATCATCAGCGCGCGCCGTGTGGGAGAGGCCCTGCCTGTGAAGGAACTCACAAGAGAGCTTAATGGGAAGAGGCAGAGAATGTAGAGAAGGACAACAAGGCAGCAAGAGTGACTGTAGCAGCTTGCAGCAGCCGTCGTCCTCGTAGCACTGCTGCTACTGCTGCCACTGCCGTCGCTATGACTACTGAGTCTGTTTCCGACCTTGCACCCATTACCCGCTACTCACTGGCTTCTACGTACAACCTACTAACCTACTAGCTACTATCTTACCTGCCACGTACTGCGACGATGACTACGACTGCCACCGCCACCACCAGCCGCACCATCACCGCCATCGTCGCGACTGACGACGACGACGACGACGACGACGACGCCGACTCCTTCTGCTGCTACTGCGACAGTGAGCAGCAGCAGGACGTTTGTAGTGGTTAGCAAGCTTGTGGTGGCAGTGGTAGAGGATATATAAAAAGTGTTGCAACATGCCAAGAGTTCCTCGAAAAGGCCGACTCCACAGCTGAACTCCAATCTTCAGCTGCATAACCTACATGGACGGGAGTCTTAGTCTTGTCCATATCCTGATGGGGCCCTTAACTCAAGGACGCATAACCTACATGTTGCCTCCGTTGAAGCCGGCAGGTCGTATTGGCCGAGCTGCACCCTCGGATTCTGTTTCGCTTTGGAAAGTACCTCGTGGGAACTGGTCGGTCTCAGCTGTTGGTGATAGTGTCAGAAGCTCAGGTCCCAAACGTATTCCGGATGGATCAGATTGGAGGGAGACGGCGGATGGATGCTGAGTCGTCCGGTCGTGGTTGACAGCACAGCTGAAAGTCAGCGGCCTGCTACAGCATGTCCCACACACATTTGCGACAGCAACCGCCAGGCAGGCATCCACAGCACGGCGTCCTGCTTCAGCCTGCCTTTGACAAGGCCACCGGCGGCTCCAATTGCCTAGTGGCCTAGTGGTTGTTGAAGATTAGACTGCCGACACGACCCCAGGGTTGGGGTCTGTATCCGTTTACGGGACCGGACTGCGACCCCAAGGCAACCAGACCATCGGTGTTCACAGTCAGAAGCAGCAGGACAAGCTAAGAATCCAAAGTCGGCAGATACATAATATGACTTTGCCTCAAATCGATGCTCAGAGGCGAGGCCACAGGAGGGCCCAGACGAAGGTTTCGCCAGCGTGGACCAGGCGGCCGTTGTTTCGTGAAGTTCCCAAGATGGGGCGATGCAAGCAAGTTGCAAAGCTTCGGGAATGGGCACAGCGTAAGCCCTACTTCCCCTGCCAAATGACAAAGATGCTTCTGTGCACAATGTCAGCTAGCATCTGCCTAGCGCATGCGACTACTTGCACTGCTGTGGTTTTTGGCTTGACCACATTGCCGTCTTTAGCAAAACGTTCCTGGCTTTAAGCCTCTATTCGACACATCTAGACATCAGGGACTACAGCAGTTTTGTAGATCGCAGCAGGGGAGTCGACATGCCACGTGCAGCCAGGTGGTCCAAGACACCTTGGAGAGACACCGAGCGTCCCAGGCACTGTGTCTCACACTTGCGTGGTTGTGTGATTGTTGGTCTACTCGCCCTTAACAGTGCAAACCTTAACACAGCAAGGGTTATCGCAAGGCTTCAACCATTGCACTTCCTTCCGAAAAGCTTCCTTTGAAAGCCTTGCGCAAGGCTGCTCCCTCGGATCTCCATAGGCACGGTTTGGATGTTCAGATCTAGGAATCTAGGGTTTGGCTTAAAAAGTTTAGGGTTTCTGTTGAAGACTGGGGGATAAGAGTTCAGGTTTTTGGGGGTTAGGTTTCCGGATTCGGGAAGGATAGGAAACGTTATACCCGGTGGGAGATTTCCAGATGAGGGATGCTTTCCAGAGTTATAGTAGTGGTAATGCATAAGAGGAACCAGGATTTTTTCATCGCGGTTATATTTCAGCACAACGCACACCTTCAGCTCGAGGTCGAGTTGAGTTCAGAACTTTAGGACGGATTTGTACGTCAATTGTTGCAGCTTCGCTGCTGAGATGACGCGAGCGAACACAGAGCCGCTGGCAGATGGGAAGAGTGTGGAATTCCGGGCTCCAGGGTTTGGATAGGCCCTTTGTTGGCTACGTCAACATATGCGGCTGGGCCTCTTGAGGGCCTTGGATTGATGACTTCCGAAGTTTACCTACATGGGTAGTTCTCTAAATTACGGTCCCTTTTTGGGTCCATCTTTATAGGGGTTCCGTACTATATTGGGGACCCCCAGAGAAAAACCCTACTTTAGGGAACTACTCACATGAGCCTCTCTCGGAAAGGCCCTCGTCCCAGCCGGAGCGCCGCGGCCTCGCAGAGTCGAGATTTAAAGGGCTGAACTTAGGAAAAAAATACGAGATCCATCTTTTTCCCCACTGGCATCTGGGAGGGAACGGCCATCCTTTGTGCTAGAACCTGAAGACCCTGGTCTAGCTTCCTGCGAGTCGAAGGCCATTGCTGGTGGGGTCTTCTTTCTCTCTGGGCCCTCGTACCCTGAATCCCGCACCACACATCATCCGTCATATGCTGGGCCACTGGGCATTTCTCAACCTTACAAGCCCAGCATTGATCAGAACTGCTCAGATACGCTAGTTGAGCCAAATGTCGGTTCAGGGAGCGTGGTGAGTCTGTATGAACATGCTCACCAGTCGCTGAGAAGGTCCTGCTGCGGATGCGGAGCAGCAGAAAGCGGAACAGAGGAGCGAGTTGTTGCCATGTACAACATCTCAAAACTAGATCGTTGAACATAAAGTGACAAGTCTCTCTTTACGCACAGCAGCAGCAGCAGCAACAGCCGCCGCCACCACCACCAACAACACCACCACCACCAGCACCACCAACACCACCACCGCCACCACCACCACCAGCAGCACCACCACCACCGCTGCTTTCAGCCACAATGGTCACAACTGCACCAACATCACCAGCAAGCAAGCAGTCGATCAATCAGTCAACCACTTGTGTAGTCAAGAATCGGTGACCATGATGCCAGCCACGAACATCAACGTCTTCAGCACCGCCGTATTTGTAAACATCATCGTCGTCTGCTTCGGAAGGGAGAATCTCGAACAAACCCCCTCCCCCCAGTCCGAGACTCTCCGAAGGAGGGCGGCAGAAGCGCAAAGAGCTCGAGAGCTCTTTGGCCACGAGAATACACGGGCAAGTAAGGGTCAGGGGTTGAGGAGTCAATTTCTGGTATGGTGTCTCATCCAAGTTTCGGTGAGGGGCCTGCTGCCGCAACAAGCCGTTGATTTGTTCGAGCGCGAACTCAAAAAAGCAAAGCTCAGCTCCGGAGACCAGGCTTGAAGAGAAGAGACGCCAGGCCAGGGCCTCAGGGCTTTGTGGGGTTTAGGGGTTGAGGGTTTTTTGGGTTTTGGACGGTTAAGGGGTTTAGGGGTTTTTGGGCTTAGGGTTTAGGGTTTAGGGAACTCGACTCCGAGAGCTCATTGTAAACCGAGAGCTTTGTACTCCCGGCATACTTATATTCAAAAATACATACCTCAGTAGCCTATTCTAATGATTAAGGCTCCTAGAGATGTCTTAGCAGGCGCCGAAGTTTGGAGTGATTTCTGTGGCAGGAAGAGGACCGGAGGCGGAAGCAGGCCGAGGCAGCTGCCTGCATGTTGCGATCCTTCTTCGTTGTTCTGTCTGCCTTGCGTTGTTGAGCTGCGCAAATCGCTTGAGCTAGGGAATGTGAGCGTGTCCCAGAGTCAACTGAGGAGGAGCAGCGCAAAAGACAAGAGGAGATTCGGAGAGTCCAGGAGGCTCGGGGAATTTTTTTGCGATCCCGAAGCTGAGATTTCTTTCTCGGTTCCCAGCAGGAGCAGGAGCGGAGACGGCAGCGCGAAGAAGAAGCGAAGCGAGCCAAAGAGGCAGAGGAGGCCAAAGAGCCGCTGAGAAACATCAGACAAGTGGTGAGACACGGAGTGGCCCCCTGTATCTTGTGCGTTTAGTGGCCATGGTTGAGGGGCTGCTTGGTTGTCGTCCCTGCTTGCATCGGTGAGCCGCCATTCTCCTCCTGAAGCACTGTTTCTGGCAGGATTTGATGTGTGCGGGTGCTTGTCGTCCAGTTTGGCTTGTTGAGTGAAGGGTATTCGGCACGTAGCCGACGTAGGCGACATCCACAAGGAGCAAAATTCATGGAAGTTCATGGAAGTGCCACGAAGCTTTAGCAAAGGGGTGGCCAGCATCAGGATGACTTGAAGCCATCTCAACCCATCTTTCAGACAGGCCATTTTCAAATAAGCGCTTGCATTAAAGTACTCTCTGTGGCCATGGTGGAGCTACCTGAAGGAGGCGGACCGGAGATGGATCCTGAGCGAACCCCGGAGGAAGCCAGCGGCCCTTGTGACGATCTGGATTTGTGGAAGAAAGTGGAGGAGGAGCGTGCCCAAAGATCATGGGACCGCTACAACAGGATGCGTGGTGCACGGGAAATCAAGGCATCCAACCGCAATGTGGAGGTTTCAAGGCAGCCGCCAGCTACGGAGCCTTCTATCCCCAAACGAGAGAGAGCAGAGCAACCTGTCCTCCGGGAGGAAGGTAGCCTTGATGATCTCTGGCAGCAAGCAGAAGCCGAGCTCCAGCGGCGCCGGGCACAGGCTGCTAGCAGCAGCCGGGGCCTTCGGGTCTACGACATGGCCAAGGGAGAAGGCAAAGGTGTGGAGAGGTCCTCTTACCCCAGCAGGGCGGTCACAAGCTCCTGGCAAGGATCCCTTCAACAGGATCTACATGACGGCCGGCAGTACAAGGTGTTGCTCTCTCGCCGGAACATAGACGACAAGGCCGTAGAGCTTTGGTGCCGTTGGGCTCGCCCGAAGCTTGCTCGGCTTCCCGCCAACGCCGTGGTAACTATGATGGACCTGGGCTACAACAAAGTCACCGCCCAAGGCCTGCAAACTCTTCTGACGATGCTGCGGGAGCTTGAAGTGCCGGTGGAAGCGTTGAGTCTGCACCACAACCAGCTGTCAGATGAGGCTGCTGATGCCCTGGCCCAGTTCCTGCAAGACTCGCCACACACCCTGTACGAGCTCAGCCTCACTAATAACCAGATTACGGAGCCTGGAGCACGCACCTTGCTCGAAGCTGCAGTGAGAGCCATGCAGTCCCCTTTGGAGCTCGAAGCGGGTTCCACCACCACAGCTGTCCGATACCCTGCCCTGCGCGACAGCCAGAAGGTCCCCCTCTGGCTGCGCCTGGGATACAATCGCATTGGGGATGGCCGGCCCAGCTTCGTGCGGAACTTCCTTCGGAAGACCGAGGCGGAGCTCTTGAAGATCCGTCAGACTCTGGGAAGCGGGGAGGGCGATGAAGATCCTTGGGCAAGCTTTGTTGGCCTCCGAGCGGGGGGTACTCGTGCACCAGATAGCACCACCCACCTCTTTTGTGAGGCGCTGTCGGGCTTGGGCTGCGATCAGAGGCATTGCAGCCAGCTCTATCCGGAGTTCAATGGCTTCCCGGCTGGCCCGGTAGTGCATCTCTTCCAGATTGACCAACAGCTCGACAGAGAAAGCTGCAACTCCTGGCAGACTCCCCGCCCCCGCCGCCACGACGACGGCAAGGGGAAGGGTGATAAGGGTGGGAAAGGCAAGTCCGGCAAGTCTGCGGGCAAGTCTGGCAAAGGTTTCTCGGTGGCAACTGGAAAACTGGTTCGTTGGTCTTGAGTATAGTCTATGTGAGATACGTCTTCATCAGATGAACAACCAAGGTTTTCGAAGCTCCCAGGGCTCTGATGGCATCCAAAGGGACGATGCCAGGCAGAGCCGCGAGAAGGAACTCCGGGGCCTCTTCGACCTGCCTCAAGAAGGCCACTCCCCGGGCTTTCCGTTTCGGTATTGTTTTACTTTATAAAGCATCTTGTTGTATGTATGTATTATGGTTTAACTGAAATGTCAACCACTTCATCTTTCTGATGGGTCTCGGTGAGTCCTGAAATCCTTTGATTCTTTTGGCACTGACTCTCTGCATTCTGCATATATTTGTAAGCACTGCCGCTAATGATGACGTTCTTTACATCTTCTGCTTAAATAACGTTTTCTTTATCTATTTTGATGAGGAATTTCCAACTCGTGAATTTCAGCGCAGGCGAGAGGCAGATGAGCCCAAACTCAAAGCGAAGTAGGCCTCGTGCTGCTGGACGGGCTGTTTGCAGGGCCTAGTCAGGGCAGCACCTTCTTTCTTGCTTGAGGATTGCAAGGCATTTGAGGGTTTGCAAGGGAGCAAGCTGGCATTCGTGGGCTTTTTCATCGGGCTCCAGGCCACCCTGTACAGAAAGCTCCATCCTTGGTCAGATGACATCCTTAGCTGTATCAACGGGTCCAGATTGAAGTGTACCGAGGGAAAATGAAGCAGATAATAACTTGTGAAGATGAAACCGGAAGAGGCGCCCGGCAGAAGCGCGTAGGCATGTCGGCCGCAATTGATTCGCTCATCCTGTTAAGCAAAGCTTTACAAAGTGAATCCTGAAGAGGGCTTCGTTGTGGGTCTCGCGTCCGCCTGTTTATGTTGTCGTGTCTTGTGGTCTCTGTGCGCAGAGACAAGAGACTGTCCCAACTGTTCAGAGTCGAATCTCGTCAAGAACAACATAAACATACCTTGCCGCAGAGCCCCCCCGAAAAGAGCTGCTCCAACGGCAGGGGCACCTTGGCCTTTGTAGTGCGGGACGTGCTGGAGCCCGAAAGCTTGGGGGCCGAGGCCCTGGGTCAAGGGCTCGAAGTTGTGTCGGTTGCGACACCCAGACATGGAGTCACCGGAATATGCTGTGAAGAAGATGCGATGAGCAGCAGCAGTGCAGCAAAGACTGCTGGCAATAGGCACGGAAGTAAGACCAGCAAAATCATCAACATCATGGTTAGTGGTGCATACAGTGCTTCAGTGAGAAATCTAATGCCAGCTTGTGCCACTGAGAAGAACCGCAAGACTTTGGATGGAAAGAGTACTGACGTGGCAACAAACCACGAAGGGATTCCTGCATGCCGGCAGTGCTGTAATCATGTCTGCGCAGCTGTCTGACCTTGTTAGCTGTCACTTATGAGGTGCGTGTTTGCAACAGTGCGAGAGCTTGATTCATGTAGCTTCGCTAAAGCTTGGCCAACCACGAAGGAATTGTTTTCACCACAATCCCAAGAAGCAAGCATCATTATTGTGCTAATGCTTAGAAGCAGCATCGAAGCGCTATCACCATCAGTCGCCATTTCTTGCTGTCATTAGTTTGATTCTGAGCCCAGGACGCAGCCGAATGGAGTGCTGGTAGTATAGTGGCTGTGGCAGCAGTAGCAGTCGCAGTGGCATTAGCAGGAATGGTTGTAGGAGCAGGAGGAGGAGAAGAGGAAGAGCGGCGGGGGCAGCAGGAGCAGCAGGCAAGTATGCAGCAGCTAGCAAGTTGGTGTTCGCCGTGTGCTCAAAGCCTCATCCCGGAACTTCGGCAGGTCTCCTTGTGGCCGCTGCGATCCGGAGATGCAGTTCGAGTCCTGTATCAAGGACCGGAGCCTTTCGGGCGAGATCGGGCTGATGATCATGGGAACTGAAAAGTCAGGCCTCGGGTTGTCCAGAGTTCAAAGCTAAGCAGAGCACCTGCAGGATCGGAGGATCTCGGCGACGGTGGCTACCTCTGGGCTTCGTTCAACGGCCGCGAAGGTTCGGAGGGAGTAAGCAGGGTATGAGTGGTTTAGAACAAAGGCGACATACCACGCAGCCAGCCCCTGGCCGAAAGCACGCTCTCAGAGCAGTTTCACCCTGCCCTGCGAGGCTGGATTCCGACCACAGCTGTATCCGGCAACTGGAAAGAGAGTCACTCAGGATGAGATGGCTTTTTCCTGTACGGCTGGCAAATGATTTTCGCGATGCTGTGAAAATCTGGGATGCAGCGGGAGCATCTGCAATATGTGCTTCATAACCCATCACATACACTCCCCCCAAAAAAGCCACCCAGAGATCTCAGACTAACCGGAGCGCTTTTCCCCCGAAACACTGCAGCCCTCTTCGGCTGCAAGCTTGTGAGTTCGAGGCATGCCTCGGCCTGGCTCTGCATGAGAGAGGTCCCAACAAGAATGCAGCCTGATGTAGCTCAAACCTACGATGACCCGTGCTTAACACAATTCTGTACATGTGTGGGTATAGTAGCAATGCTAACAGTAATGTGTCATGTTGTAGTACGGATCATGGCCGATGTAGGTTGCTGGCTATCGCGACTCGCGACTGCAAATCAGTAGTTCCATCATTTAGTCAGCACGACTGCTTCCTGCTACTGCTGTTTCTGCATCCTTCTCAGAACACCAAGATTTGGATTACTTTTTTGCATTCGAACGCGCTCGCGATCAAAACCGCATATTTGCTCTCATAGTTTTTGGTGCAGAGGCGAGCTATCCTTGAGACTCATGGCCGCCTGTATAGCCACGACAGAGGGCCTGGGGCATGTGGAGGAAGGCCTGCGTCGCATGCCCAAGCGAATTGCCAACAGCATATCAGCTTTTGGCCAAAGCCTAGGAGTTTTCAATCTCCGACTGCTGGCATGGAGAGAGAGGTCTTGCAGAGTTAGGTCAGGTTGCACAAGAACCATACTCCTCCAACAATCACCAGCCCCAGGGAAACTAAGTCAAGGCTGGTGTCGTTGTTCCCCCCTGGGCCTTGTCGTCAACACCCCCTCCGGGAGATCCACCTCGAAGCCTGCAGCTTGATGCCTCTACCTCACAATTCCCACAACTGAGACCGAGAAGAGCTTGACTCAAATCAGGTTTCTCTTTAGAACCATGCGCGTCTCGGCAATCCGTGCCAGCAGACTCTGAGATTTCGTAGATCGACTAACGCACTGCGAAATCGAGCACATCTGCGCGAAGTGAGAATTGGCTTCAGCAGAAAAGCGCTCCGGCCCTCGGGGTCGGGAGCAAGCTCCAGATTTCGCGGTTAGCTTGGCAGGATGTGTTGCGGCACCCACTTTCACAGCGACTGCGAAATTGGCGATGCAGGCGAAAGTCGCTGCCGTGCAGCTCGCTGCAGAGCAGGCCTGGAATGTGGCTCTCTTGCTGCTGCTGTAAACAACTTGTCAGCTCTTCATGCTCTTGGGATGTGATGCCCGATCTGGGTGCGACCCGCCGGCTGGCAAATGTTTCGCAGCGATGTTCTCGAAGACAGCCCAGTGCAGGAACGACTGCTGGATGCCTTTGCAGATGCAGCCGCGCCCGGACCTCATGCCGTTTTCTTCTTGCTGGTATTTCACCGCAGTGAATATGGTCACTACCGTCATCATGACCGTCATCACCGCTGGATTTGCGAGCATTGGTCCATTGACTTTCGCCATCACTCATCGTCATCACCACCGCCATCATGCACCTAACCACCAGCAACATCCCCAAAACTACCACTGTCATCAGCACAGTCCTGGCATGATGGCATGACGATCACCTCACAGTGGCAAGGGGTTTACCGTGTTGGTGGTAATGATGAGGGGAGGAAGGAGACGAAGATGACGACGATGACGGTGGCTGTAAGCGAGTCTTTGGTCTCATGGCTAGTCAATGCAGCATTGCACTCTTTCAGAAGTCTCCTTCTGCCTGTAACGATGCATGCATTGAGCAATCCGCCATGCTTGAGTCCTACCGACATAGTTCGTTTTAGAGGTCCACCACGCAAGCCGACCATGTCAAGCCCTACTTGTAGATCAAGAACCCCAACTTCTAGCAAGGTCCCTGCCTATACTCTCCGTCCTAAACGTTAGTAGACTCTGATTGGCACATTTTGAGGTCCGGCGATCCTGCAAAGATCAAGGTGGCACGTGACGCGGCCAAGAAAGGGGGCGTGCCGACAAAGGACCCCACATGCTGGAGCCTGCGGCTTTGGAATTCTAAAGTCTCTTTTCTCCTATGACCGGGAACTGCCATCTTGAGACCTGAAGGGGAGACAGAGCATGCAAGGGAAAGCAAAGACAGGTGGAAGAAACACAAGATCAAGGTCCAAACCCAACACACCATTGATTGCACCAGCCTTGTCGTTCTGAGAGCGAGGAGATTGCCAGAGTTTTCGCGCTGGCACAACAGGCATCTGAGTAGAAGGCTGCCCTGGCGCAAGAGGAATATCTTGATCTCCGTTCTTCAAGTGAATTGTAAGCTATAAGCCGTAGCACTGATCCTGACAGAGAGTCGAGCTTTCCTCCCAACTGCGCCACGGCAACGTAGGAATTTTCGATAAGGTGCAGAGCCAAGCTCTCGTGAAGAGGTATTTAAGTAGGGCTTGGGTCTACATGAGGCTCAACAACGGGCCTTGCGACATCAGTCCTCAGAGGCGACGGACCTCACGCGCTTCCTAATCCCCGCTTGTACCTCGCTTCCGTCTGCATCGATAGACCGCCTAGCTTGGAATCGAGGCCCAGAAGCGACCGAGAAAAGCGCGGGCAACGGATTGCAAGCGGCGTCCATGCAACACTGCAGTCTGCTGAAAGTCACGTGTGACCTTCTGGGCTCAAAGCTCCCGAGCGAGGGCTTAGAGCCGGCTCTGCTAAGCAGAGCTGCCAGGGCACCTCTCAGCCGATGGCATGTCGCTCAAGGCGTCGAACCGTTTCGGAAAGTCCTCAACGCTCTCGTCGACTTTCGGAAAGTCCTCGACTCTTTCGTCGACCTCGGGCTTCCTGCTGGGCTGCAATGCGCGGGACGGATATTGTCAGTGTATGCTGTCAGGGTCACTTTTGTGATTAGCTTCGTGCCAGCTAAGCTGTTTGGATTGTTGTTTTGCCACGGTAGTTTCAACGAGAGCTTCCAGGGATGCGAGGGGCTCAAAGCTAGAGCAAGCATTGCTTGAGAACAAAAACCACCAAATTGAAAGCACTCCGGGCTGGATTCTGGCTTAGGGTAGGTAGTATGAGTAGACTTACGACTTTTCGCGGTAGCTCTTAGTTAGCATTCGTTACTGGAAACCCTTTTGACGGTCCATTGAGTCAAAATGGGTGATATCCCTTGTGGTCCCTAGCACATCGACCCCCGGCAGGGAAGAGGCAGCTTCGGTGCAACCAGCACGGCTGTTTCTAGTGGCAGAAGCAGCATGGATCAACCACGACTTGCAATGCTTTCGGGTGGAGGAACTGACATACGTAAGATATTGAGTCGAGGAAGGGCACTGCACCAACCAGAAGCCGAATGCGATTTCTTCCCTCTCCAGGAGAAGACCTTCCAGAGAATGAGCTCAGCGGTCGGTGTGCCCTTCGTCAGATTAGGGCAAGACACTGGCGTGTCCTCGTGCTCTCCGTGATACTCATTGGATGATGCTGCCTCTTTACTCTTTATTTCCCAGTCCGGCAAACGAAGGTCGGATGACTTGAGCCCCCTGCGGCAAGCCCTAATACTCTACGGAAGCCTGAAGCAACGCCGCAAAGTGAAAGGCTCCCCAACTACCCCCACAAGAGGAGCCTCGGATCTGACAACCCAAGGTCTTTCGAGCGTTTGCGTGCGGAACCTCTTGGCGAAGTTCCTGAGCCCATGGCCCCTCGGAAGGGGCCAAGAGAGGAAGTTGAAGTACGGGGCTGGGGAAGCCTTGGGGGGGTTTGATGTTTCACGTGGCAGAAGCTCGGCTTCAGGCTCTCTCTGGAGGCAGGATCTTACAGCTCGATCATTGCAGGGTGTGGCGGTTCCGGGGCAGTTTCGAGGGCCCAGCTGTTTGTTGCAAAGGCGTGGGATTCAGCGTTTATCGGATTCCTTCTGCAAGACTTTCTGGGCAGTGTGAACTTATGTTCGAAGTGTGCTGAACCGGCAAGATCTCCAAACAACAGAGCTCGCAAACAAAGCAGGAAACTACCCTCAAACGGGCCTTCCGAGCTGCCGGCATCTTGAGACGAGGTGGCGACCGGAGGCTCATCCTCGCTTGGGCGGAGATCTTTCGCCCGTCGGGGTCAGGACGTGATCAACAGGCGGCGCAGGGTTCAGGGTCCAACATCTGGCTTACCTACGGTCTAGGGGGAAAGGAGTTTGGGATGTGAAGCTCAGGGAGAAGACGTGAATTCCTTCAGGGCTCTGGCTCCTTTCAAGTCGACATGAGGAGCTCCTGAGACTCAAGCGACACTCCAACGTTTAAGCTTCGACCTTGAATGTCGAAACCAGACAGAGGAGTTCAGTCTGAAACTGTCGAAACCTGCATTGCACATCAATGGGCGTGAGAGGGTTGCGGAAGTCTTGAAACGTGCTTTTGACCATTGCAGTGTACACGAATGTTTGGAAAATGGTCGAAATGCAGAGCCCGGGCCTTGCGAGTAACACGTACTAGTAGTATGACTTCAATGAAGAACATGCTAGAGACGGTGATACGGCGGAGCCGGTCCATATTCCCGCCGAAACATTGAATCGCATGGATAAACAGACAGACACAGACAGACACAGGCAGACAGACAGCCAGACACAGATAGATTGTTATTTTAGGGGCCTAAGCAATTACCAATACTATTTTGGGGCTCCTTGACATGATTATGGTATAATATACCCCGAAGCCCTCTTCTAAACAGATCCTGCGAGCAAGTGCCCAGACCGCCGTCCTCGCAGCGCTTTTTGGCCACGTCTTACGACGGCGAGTGGAAGCTGCGGCAGCTCGGCTGGTTTAGGGTTTAGGTTTAGGGCTTGTTTAAAGAAGACGGCGACTGGGTTGCGAGAGCAAGTAAAGTACGAGCACAAGCAGGGCTTAATGGTTTAGCTATGTTTAGCTAAGAGCAGAGAATACCCTTGTAGTAGCTCTATAGTCACACTGGAGTATTTGTATGCTCTCGTCTGCCATCTTCCGGGAGCCATGGCATCTCGAGTCTTCGGTCCAGTTCTCACGAGATGCTCGACAGTGCTTTCAATCCCACGGAAGTGTGACCCGCTTTGCCCGTACAAAGCAAGCTGCTGGGACAGTCAGGCAGCTCAACAGTACCGTGGTCCATTTCTCGTTCACAGGTCTCAGGCCTCACGAGGAGTCAAATCAAATGAGCAAATGCTTGCAGTAGCGCGGACCGAAGCCCTTTGCTTCCACCTCCGAAATGCCCCACTCGAGGTCCGACTTCCAGAAGAGATCTTTCGGCCAGGCGGAAAGCAGGGTTTGTTTGGTCGGCTCTTGGGCTAGCCGGGCACTCCACAGCAACGTTTGTGGAATCAGTGCCTCGTCTGCCAACAAACAGAAATGCTGCAGCCAAAGCCGAACGCTGCCTGCCCACATGCGCAGCTGATGGCAAGAGAGGAGGTTGCCATGACCGCCTGTACAGACGTAGATGTAGACACCAAGCACTGCAACATCTCCGCCGACATTAGCAGTTTTGATGCAGCCGATTGCAGAAGCCTCCCGCCGTGTCTAACAAGAACCATGTCTGCAGAACCCGTACCCCGAAATTGCCAGGAGGCATCCTCGCCCAGGGACGAGCACCAGACGTGGCTCAAAGGTGTGCTCGGAAAGAGGACCCTGACCGATAACTCTTGGAGCTTTCTTGCACATGCTATCCGCGAGCAAGCCCAAACAGCAGCCTCCCGAGATGTGACTTCAACAGCTCTTCGTCCCAAGAGCCCGGGAGGAAGAAGCCGACCCTCTTGGGCAACATGAGAAGGCACCGTTGCACACTGTCGCCGGTGCTGCAATGTCTGAATCTTCGCTAACCCGACCTCAGATTCTTGTGAGAGGCTGGACCTAACCAGCAGCTTGCTGAGAAGTATGGAGCGGCCGGGGTGCGACTGGGATCCCCTCCGAGACCTCCGAGTGCAAGGAGTCCAGGACGGGAAGCCGAGGGATCTACAATTCCGGGGGCGTTTTTTGTTGCCCAACGAAGACATGAGAAAGTGGTTTTTCTCCAACTGGCTATGAATGGAATCTGAAACTACACAGCTAAAGTCAAGCATCATCTATCGTTCGTGAAAAGCATGTGTCGTGCCCAAGCTTGAATCCCTGCTCTTGGATAGCAGGAAATCCTTGATACATTTTCAATCAGTCTGCTTTCCGAATCTGGTCACAGGAGTCGGAGCCCTCCACCGCTCGCACGTCCCTGTCCAGTGAGACTGGGGATATGGCAGACACCAGCATGACGAGCTTCAGCAGGCATGCGTCGAATTGACAGTTATCATTCGGTATTGCAAGAGTACACCACGGTTGGCTCCATCTTTCGGTCCTCTTCTATCGTAGCCCGTGTTCACGTGGGAGCAAACCCTGATCTCTGAAATCGCCCACGCCCTCAAGGCCCTAAAGGTCCGAAGCCCTGACCCTATAACATACCATAGTGTTATAACTTAATATACCATAAAATTTCATCTATACTTATATGTATGTATATATATATATATCATATATCTATATACTATATCTATATACTATATATGTATATCATATACAGATATATATATATATATACATATATATATATACACACTATATACCCCCAAGAGGCTCACCAGGCGCATGTCGGCCTCCCTTCGGTTGGGAAGACGCCGGAGCTCTGCTCGCTCTGGGCTGCCGCCGAAGGAGGAGGTCATCGGATTGCGAGAAATCTATGGGAGCCTTAATAATTAGAATAGGGTGTTAAGGGGGTTCTTTAAAACGGTTTGTTGATCGGGTGGTAGATCATTCGAATTGGGGTTCGTGGCCTGTTCAGCAGTGGCCATGCTAA